GTTTGGCTCTGCCTTAGCTGGCGGAGGCGATTCCGACAGACGAGTAGCTCATCCTGAATGGCCCTATACCTCTTACGCCTTTGTGGATCCCCACCACGGATATAGCGGTCCAGATACAGGGCTTCCCCGAATTTGACGTAGCTCTGGTCCTTGTAAGGTCGAAGATGTTTGCGATCAAACAGTACACGCTGTGCTGCAGTCAGCGCAAAGTCACCGAACTGAGTTGTCCACGAACCTGAGGCCGGACCTGCAGGAGGAGTGGCACGTCGACGAGCTCCCTGTTCAGCCTGCATGGCACGCCTTCTAATTGGACATCGTCGCAGAAAAAATCGTCGAGGCCGTCATGGATTTCGATACCGTCCTCCAGATTGCTCAGGGGCAAATACGTATAAGGGACCTCGCGTCCGTGTATGTCGCTGCCAAGTGGAGCAAGTTCATCTCGCAAAGAAGCGGCGAAGGATTGCTTGTAGGTGCCATAGAATAGCCTGGAATGACAGGTCAGCCTTTGCCAGCGCGCATGATCACATTCATACCGCCGAAAAGACTTCACTTCGATCCCGGGGTTTGATATACGCCCGTCCTGGTATACCGAAATAGCAACCTCGATTTGAAAAGTGCACTGATCCATGCACTCCGAGGCGTCCTGCTGATTGCCTTTGGGAATTGAGTGGGACGGTGGGCTATTCAACTCAGGTGGCGCTCACCCAAAAGCAGCTGGTCGTCCCTAAGCGGGCCCACGTTCCACATTGCGACGTCTCCATCCCTGTCAACCGACCATATCTCGCCGCAGTTATTCTCCACGTTGTTTCCGGTGGTCAGAGCAAGTTTTGCTAGGGTAACGCTGGGCGTGACGGAAGGCTGCATATCGCTCTGCAGTCGGTTAAAGAGGTCCGCGAGCTCATTGACGACTATGAGACGGAGAAATCAGGACCTGAAAATGCTATGAAGTTCACAAGCCTCACATTCCATGGACCGCAGAATTTCCGACCGCTTGATTAACCTGCCGCCCACCCGATAGTTCTCAATTTTGCTGTCGGGTATTGTTCTGATTGTTTGGCCAAAAACGAGATCCGAGGTCATGCTACGGATTGCGTCTCTCACAAGATTGATTGTGTAGAGGAACTGGAGGACATTAGTACGTGTTTTCCGCGATGTGGCGTGTCGTGCATACCTGAAGTAAAGAGTTGAGGTAGCACGTGTTGCCCAGCTGGTTCAATCCCCGGGGAAGATCCAGAGAGACGGATCGGAGATGGGCTACTCCCTCACGTTGAGCTATGCATCATCATACGCGTGCGATCTTGCTTACAGTGCAACTTTCCAGGAGTCCCCGCGAGTCCCATCCATTCCGTCTTGACAGATTGACCTCTGTCGCCCATCCGATTCTTGCGCACCGCGCTGTGTTGGTACGGCTCTGATGAGAGCCGCTTCTCGCAACGGGATACTGGCAGATGTTGAGAAGCCATCCGTACGGTCCTTTTCCGAGGCGGCTTGAAATATCTGTCACCGTCGGCGCTTTGAGTAGAGGGAATGCACGCACCGAGTGGTATTCCTTTGCCTTCAGGTAACGATTGAGCTTCAGCTCCGTCTCGCTGTCGCTTGAACACACATCCATCTACCAAGTTAGTCGAACGTGAGCCATGCAGGAAAGGCCGTACGCACCGAAGTAAGCCCATGAGCGCTATGGTGCCGCGTAGATGGACCATGAGATTGATGGTGTACGGCTACGGACGATGCCAGACGCTGAAAATGATCAGATATATGCGCATAAGAGGAAGCTGGACTTACACCCGGCATTCCGCGGTAGGGACGGCTGATGGGTGCCGACACGACCATGGGTGCCAATGGTCTAACGAACCCAGAGGTGTCATTGACGGGGTTGTTCGCGCCATTGTTGTTCTACCCAGTCAACTGAGACGGAGGTGACATGAAAGCTGGACTGAACGAACCTGCGGAAGCATACTGCGCGTTTGAGTTGCGCTCTAGGATTGCTGCTTAGCTGCATACCCGTGAGCAATATGTAGATCCCACCGGTTTATTCAGCGAAGGGTCGCTCTCAGGAGCACATTCAGTACCACTGCAAGTTGTATATGATCAGGCATACCTTAAGCGCCATGATCCGCGCCTGAAGGGCATCATCTATTCCACCTATTCCACTCGTGGTCCGCGTCGTGAGTCTCTGATTATGCGTCGGTATGCCTTATGTACACTGCAGAACCCCATCGCATACCTGAATTTCGCTCAAGAGCGCCTGTTCGATGATGAACCCAATCACCCTCGGACATTGACAGGAAGTTGTCGCGCGCACCTGTATTGTTCCCTTATTTCTTGTGATCATATCAGTTAGGCTAGCGGTGTCCTGCTCGATGGTATGTTGAACCGAACCATGCATCGGGTCTCGATACCTTACCTCGACAACGTTGCGCTGCTGCTGATCAGCACTACAACGGAGAGCTTCAATCTCGCGCGTCAACCGACGGCACTCGATAAGACGAGCTTGTTCCGCATCGTCGAACCGGATTTTCGCTAGCTCGAGAGACTCCTGATTCTGCTGTGAGGTTCATCGGAGAATCGAAGCGCTGATACTTACGCGTTGCTCGTCGACCCTGCTGCGAACTTCTCTTAATCTCAGGTATTTCTCCCTTTCGACACACTTGAGCAGTAGATCGTTGGCTTCGACCTTTTCAGAGTAAAGCTTCAAACAAGCTTATCAGCAGCCAGGTTTTGTATAAAGACGATACGAACTTGGCGAATTCTATCCAACAAATCCACCCGTTGCGTGAGATCAGAAAGAAGGTTCGTATCGGATGGATGTGTATCTGTATCGAGCGAAGCTTTCTCGCGTTGTAGTTCGTTGAGGACCGTTTTCAGCCTTCTTTGACGTTCGGAGCTCGCTGTCAAGAGGTCCTACGTCGGCGAATAGAGTAAGAAAATGACTGAGAGGGTCCGAGAAGCACATACCTGCAGCGTCTCCACATTCTCCTGCAATGTTTTGAGCCTGATTCAGATCACATTCGACTATTAGCGGACAACCAAACCTCAAGCCGGCACCACTCGGCGCCTTGAACCGTTTCGCGCTGCTGGGCACTGGGAGACGGAGCAATGATGAGGTGCTGTATACGACATAAAGCGTCACTTGTAGGCACCAAATTTTGGGCCCGTACCTCTGTCTTAGAGCATGCGGCTCTAATCGAGACGATAGACTCGTCTGTGCGGAGCAAGTGCTGTAGATACTGGACGAGGATATTCCCATCAGAATATAGTCCAGGACGCAACAGATAATGGTGAGCATACCTCTATGTCCTCGCAAAGCTCTTTGGTCGATGGTATGCGACGGATCCGCGAGCATGAGGCCTTCCAAACGCATTGCTGCAGCAGTTCGATGAAGACTCGACAGTCGGATTTAGAGGACGAACCTCGAGGGAATCAGTCAGGATATTCAGTACGGCGTGATTGCGCTCAGAAAAAGGGGTCTGTACTTTTGATCAGGGTGGAATTGGCATGAAGGGAACACACGTACCTCCGAATACAATATACTAGCTAGGTCCGTGACGTCGTCCTGCAGTCGTTCCAAGGCAGGTGCCAGCCGCGCCATATTATCTCCCATGGCGTCCAATATGAGTTTCTGAGTCGAGAAGCCCCGGGTTTATAAAGTGGGGAGAGAAAAATAGCTCAAAGCACAAAGCTCGTTCATCCCTTGAAAGCAAAGGAAGCGGTAAGGTCCCTAAACGGACCCAAAGGACTGAAAGAGATTAAAGAAGATTGGTTTGTCCAGATAATGATCATTGGTTTGAGGAGTTGCAAAATGTGCGTCAAGATCGGAAAGATATCCCCAGCGCCCTCGATACTTCGGGTGACTACTGAGCGTCTCCAATATGAACACGTGCAAGGTTGGCCCCGGATCATCCGGGTCAGCGGCATCGATCGTTCGCAAACACGTGAAAACACTTTACCGCTACGGCCTCTTGCCAACCTCTTGCGATGGCGCGTTGATCCTTGCTACTCTGATTGATGATTGAACCTTTGTCAAATGACAAATTTACTTTGCATTGAGTTCATTGCAGTGCCTTCGTCCATTCCGATGGTCCTTTCCCTCAATAACACGCGATCAAAACACCTTGACGAACAGAGATCGATCCAAAGATGCATTGTCTGGGCCTGTATATAAGTAAGGACATTTGCGCGTCCGTCATCGTAACTAATCCTTTCTGGCCATCGTCATAACTAAGCCCGTCTGCATCGCCAGCCTCTTTGACCATGACGCCTGTTCCGAGCCGCGCCTCGTCGCGCACATCGTCCGATGGCCTTGTGTGGCAAGAAGGGCAGAACAAGGTTACTATTACCAATCAAGGGTTGATATCCCTTGGCCACACGCTGAGTGTGAGTCGAAGGTACCTTTCCGGGCGAGGCGCAGCTCACTCCTAGACAGAAGGAATTCCGCGCCATCTGCCAAGACCAGAATACGCAGTTCTACTGTCGTCAGTGTGGGGGTAGACCGACGAGAAAGTGGACCACCTTGGACGTTTTGAAGCGTATTCTGTGGCTAGTCTTGGTGTGTCCACTCGCCCTAATTGTCAGCGTCGCGTTAATCAACCGTGAAGGCTTTGATCCTCGTTCTGCTGTGCATTACCTGTGTACTGTGCTGGTTCAATAAGGCTCACGTGGCCTGGAAGGGCTCGTACGTGACAGTACCTTACCTGGGCCGTCTGCCGAAGTTGCGCTCGCTGCAGATCGTCTTGAAGATCTGACAGCCGTAGAATAAATCATTGTACAAATGGCAAGAGGCAGGATTGAAAGTTCGTGGCCACCGTAATCGCCCTGGGCGACAGCACTTGGGGCTTCAGCCACCGGCTCGAGCCCGGATAAGCTAGGAAGAACGCGCGGCGGTGCCCCCTCGCCCGAGCGTGCGTGCGAGTCGAACGGCCTGAACGGTGAATTTCGGGCGGACGCCGACGCAGCGGGCACAGCCACCCTACCATACATGGTAATCGCCTCTACCATACATGGTAATCGCCTTGATGCTGCCGAGGGCGCGGCACAGCACATGCGCTCGGCAGATGCCGTCGGTCGGCCTCCTCGACCCTTCCCCCATGATGTCCCAGCTCCCTGGCTCAGAGGTACGGTTTTCCAAGCTCCCCCTTCCTTGCTTTCTTCAACGAAGCACAGCGCATGCAGCGCTGCTCGCATCTCCGGCGTCTGGGGCTTTCGTGGGGCGTGGACGATCGACGGCAGTGAGATTAGGTGAGCGCCTGCCTGCGTTCTCTCTCGACCACGCTCACGCACGAACAGCTGTCTCGCCGTCGTTGCTGGACATGCGTCTCCCCTCGGCGCACCATGTCGTCTCGCTCTGAAGTGGTCGCCGGGTTGACTCGTGCAGGCAGGGCGCGATGAGGCGAGGGTCGCAGGTGCGTACTTCGCATCTCCTTCTTTTGACCACCGCTGACCAAGATCAGGCTCCCACAGGCTGGCGCCTCCCTCCCCAGCTCCCC